CGCATGCAAGCTTTAGCTCGAAAAAATGCGTAATCAGAGTCTAGATGAGTTGACCAGTACAATCGGGCGCCATCTGTAGCTGATTGCTATGTGGTCAAACTGGGACCACTGTTGCGCTTGAAGGGGGGGGGAGGCGCCAAGTAGCAGTCTGCCTCTTCGAGTGTCGAAAACTGGTGCTCGAAAGAAATAAGCGCTGATCTGAGTGAGGAGCAAGCAGTCTGTCTCCAATGTCTGATCGATTTCTACCGAGGCCCGAACTACCCCCAAGAGATAGTACTCGCTTGGTAGCAGGCGGCCCATTCGGGCCTCAAAATCTCCGGCAAGAATGACATTATAAGACATTTTGGAGTAACGCAATAGGTTACGTAGTTGTTGATAAAAGCAGTGGCGTCTGAGAAGACTGTGATCGCCGTGCATCGAACACGAAGAGTTTGACTCTTATTTCCATCAGGTGCAACCAGTGATCTGCTGTTGGCGATGACCCGCGAGGGCATAGGTGTGCTTGTAGTGCAGGACGTAGGATGATCTGTGAGTGGAGGTAGAGCATTGGAGACAGTAGGGTCGATAGACGTAGCATGAGTGAAAGCAGTAATAGAACCTATCCATGATTCATCAGTGAGCCTGATGCTACCCGGTTGCCCAGGCCGAAGTAGAGTTGTCTTAGGGGGTCGTACCGCGAGCCTTTAGTCAAGTATTTTGACTACTGTGCACCAGGGCGGTATGTGGGCGTCGCGACCCGTTGAGAGCCAGTGACCAAACAGGTGGTTCATACGCCTTTAGGTCTTGCAAAGGACCATGGGCCCAACACAGCCTTGAATTACTATACCACCCTGAGCGAAGCAAGGGGCAGTAACTTTATTTAGTGACAAATCACTTCCGCCACGTCACAGTGTTGTTAAACGGACATATGTGGCTTTTTATAAGGAGAAGGCTTGTCAGGCGAAAACCCGCCACGTTCTGGAACACTGCCGCCGAACCATTTGCTGGGACGGGATAATCCCGGATCACCCAGCTGCTACTATAAGGAGTTTGTTCGGTAACTCAGCCCCGTAGTTCAATAGCAATACATTTATTACCTAACACCGGGAAAGGTGGATTTGCACTGGACCGGCACATACGACCCAAATGCTCACATTTTTGGCATTTGCTGCAAATTGCCTGAGCATGCTTACACTCTCTGAGATGACTGTGCTAAAAGCCACAGCGATAACTTGTGTACGGACACCTGATGTTTTCGCCAACTATATAGAATTTGTTCGGGAACTCATCAACACATTGCTTTGAATTCAGCTGCGACTCCTGCAAATGCCAGACATCTTTTCTGCAGCCTCCATGCCCGTCGCAAAATCATGGACACTTTCCAACGTACGCTTATTGGAAACTTTTTTTTACTCCAGCAACAAGGCGATCCCGGATCATGTCGCTTCGGCATTTGCCGAAGTCACAATTCTCTATCAGCTCCTGAAGCTCGGCAACGAAAGAAGCAACTGACTCCTTCTTACTCTGAACGCGGCTATTGAACCTAAACCGCCGTACAATCACTGATGGTTTTGCGTTGTAGTGATTAGATACCAGCATGACCAGTTCATCAAATTGTTTGGTATATGGTAAATCCGGAGTCAACAGGCTGCGAATTAATTCGTATGTTAATGAACCACAAATATTTAGTAGAATGTTCACCATGTGGCCGTCACCGAAATTCTCATTGACTAAGTGTTGTACTACATCGATTGTGTTACTGCTATCTACGGTCCGCTCTGCCTGCCGCCTAATCCAACCATGAGTTCAAAATCCATCTGAGCTTTCTCAGCACGCTGGTATCTTGCCCACTTGCAGTAATCATGTTGCGACGGTAGACTGCGTTCAATGCGACGATTGACATCTTATTTTTGTAATCTCGACGTTCGTGCTTTTCCTGTTCAGTCCACGGCGGTGCAGCAACTGAATGATATACGATGCAGAGTCATCAAATGAACTATCGGCTCTATTAGTTTGGTTCATTTCATTTAGTAGATAACGGAACCATCTGCGGCTGCGACAAATTCAATAAAGTGGTGTTGACCAGGAGGGGAATGCGTCGAACGAGGGGATTCAAAGGATAAGGGACAAAAATCTTAATTGGGTGAAATGGTCAAAAGGTAGAAGCAATAGATTGAGTGAAGGAACTTTATTGACTTCTTCGTTGTACCATTTCGACATAGTGTTTAACCACCGAAATAAACGGCGTGTTGGGCTGCATTCGTGACAACGTCGATCTGATCCAAATTCTCTTACTTTCTTCACAACCTTTCGTTATGTCATAGACTAACTGCTCTGGAACCTCGATCTACAAAGCGTACTGCATGTAAAAGGGCTATGATGACTCATGAGTGATTGCCTTGGCTGCACTAATCGACACGGTTTGATGCAAGGAGGAGGTTCTCTGCGTTGCGACTTTTAGCGATCATACACATCTTTGATTACGGTCAATGTATGTCCTTTGCTGCTAAATATGGTTTCAGCATCCTCTCCATTAGTTCCAGCTCATATGTGCGCCACGTTGCGCTGATCCACATTATGAAAAACGTAACAGTTCAGTTCAGGCTGATCTCAATATTTACTTGTGCGTCATGCTTACGAACAGATCGTCAGAGCGGCCCATCATTGGCTTAAAGATTAACATTGTGTGTGTAATGATATCTACCTCTGGGAACTTTTCTTTCTACAATCTATTTACCATGACTTCTGTGACCATATAAGTGTCGAGTAGAAATACATGGATTCACCACGATAAGCCGAGTACACTAGACTGTCCTATCTTTTTGGGTTTTTTTCAACTTTACTATTGAACTGACAGTGGGTAGCTGCCTTCTCTCTCCTTCCACTTCCGGGTTTTGTTTGACTGCCGAGTACACCGACTATATTCTCTCAGCATCGGGCGCATCTGCTCTGCAATGGTTATGGAGTAGGCGGATACGCAATCACTCCGCACTCCGCAATCACTTTGCATTTCCGAAGCGTAATGCTCTGGTAACACTGAACCGACGCACTGCCAGTTTTCAAGTAGTGGAACACACTTTTGCGCTCCCTCATATTGTCCGTTGAACAAGCATCGTTTGCGATGGTTAAGTCATGTACACCATATGCTTACAAACTGACAGCTTCGGTTTGTAATGTTTCCCTGAGCTGCATTTCGGTACGCAACTGGTCAATGAAGTGACAAATGAAGTCACTCCTGACCAAACTGGGTGCTATTGGTCCGTCTCGCTGTCCAGCCTGGAGTCCATGTGACGACCCCCCTTGTGCTTGGGTTGAGACGTTACAGGACGTGGTCTGCAGTCGGCATCAGTTAACGGGTTTTTCGTCGTAGTCGGGTTGTTTGTTCAAGTTATACTTGATACTGAATAATCTGTGGAGTAATGTTGATTATGACGCAGAGTAATAAAAGCTTTGGAGTGGCTGTCTCGCCGATGCCGCCTTATCTGTTCACGATAGTCAGTTGTTTAGGACGGTATATTGGTGACAAGGTGTAGACGTCTTGGCCGACCCGTGGCCGAATAGGTCGCATGCGCCTGCCTTGTAATGCGGAGGTCGCGGGTTTGAGCCTGCGTAGAGGACCGGGCGACGCAGTGGTGGTGGTTGCGCGGCAGCGAAGCGTTGGTACTGCGTACCAGCGCACTGCTTATGCCTTTAGATATCCCTTGATCCTGAATACTTTCTTAGTACATATAGGTTTTACACCCGTTGTTATTCCTCATTCTCTAGCTCATTATACCTGTATGTGGCAGTTCAAACGTCAGATGTATTGCTATCGTTATTTGCCATAGTGATGGTGATGTCTATTGGTTTACTTTCTTTGACAGCTGTTTCACTTGTAGTAACACCACCGAGAGATCGTCGCACACATTACCAAAACTCTTGCAGCTTTTCAATATCTCGTCCACTTATAATGCCATCTAAACGTTAAGAAATTGTTTTTGCAACGCTGTGAGGTGGTCAGTATTATTGTGTGGATCAGAACCCTAGTCACTTGGCACTGGAATCGTAAAGTGATTACCCGTGTTTTTTCATCGATGACTTAATTTTGAGGCTCATTTCTGGTGATCACCGAGTACGCTCTACCGAAGTTCGTCACTTAGCTTTTGACCACAGATCATCTTTTGCCTTTTTGGAGGGCCCTTTGAGTTAGGATCGTTTACTTCGGCTAAGCCATGTTCTTCACATCCCCAAAGACTGACTGCCTCGGCGTGTAATCGTTCTCAACACTGCAATTGGGTGCTTGAAACTGCTTAGCCGGCGAATAACATTGCACAAGGGTGAAGACACTCATTGAAAGGCTTTATCGTATTGTCACTTGCCGTCATCCCGAATAGATCTACGGTACTGGTCGCTTCAACTGTTTGATACCCTGTCGGATATGACGAAGTCCAAAAGGCCTGTGGCGCCGTGTCCTCCATTCTTTATTGTTGACTGTTAACTATCCCATCTAATGATTTCAGTCTTTCGCCTACACCCTTTCGTGGTGTTATTTTGAGGATTTTAGCGAAGTGAATCCAAGCACTTGTATAATCCACCTCTCGTTGTGTGAATCATAGTTGGTTAGCTGACGTACCCTTCGGTGTGGGACATGTTGACGATCGACAGCCCCTAATACTAAAACATAGTTGATATTTTAATGGAACTGCCGCTTTTATTTCCACTCTTTTTCAATTGAGTTATTTCCTCGTCTTCTTATTTCATTTATGTTGATTTGAGTCACGATGACACGGCCCAACACACTTCATCGCTCCGCCCATACTTGCTTAGTCGATCTCATGCGAAGAATCTCCGATTTTTCCTCGTGTTAATTTATGCTAGTGAAACTCGTTTAATAAGTCATTCTATTTTCCTCCGCTTACAGCGGTGATTTCCTTAGGGAAATTAAGTAACCTATGAAAATTTATATATATAGACATTACATTTCCGTCACTTGCATTACCATGGATAATTAATTTGTTTTCACGAACTTTCTTTCACGGAAGCCCTCGTAACATCTGAACGTCCAGAACCTCGACGAAGTGCGGTGGTTCCTACACCTGAAGAATCTGCGGGCTCTACTAATTTGGCAACATGTCTGCAGCAAAAGTTGACTGTCTCACAGCCCAAGGAACGTCAAACTCCCACACGCCCTTTGGCCGCTGGTGGTCCGACGCCTTCCAGTCCTAGTAAACCTATCGACCGGAAGCCCCTAATCGCCGAATATTTGGCACGGCAAAAGAGCCTTGGAGTACATAAGGATGTGGTTAATCTCATTGTGGTCGGTAAGTCTGATGATGAGCCTGGCGGGTTGGTTGTAGACCAGCGTTCGAATCCGCATAGGGGTGAGCGTTTTTGCTGTATACTCAGCCCACGTGCGACTGAGGGTGGCCGCGCGGCAGCGAAGCGGCATTACGGCGTACAGCTGACATTATTATTATTATTATTATTATTATTATTAGTGTTGATGTAGACTCTTATTTCATCATTATGCTCAATATACACGTTAGCTGCAAGTGGAAAACACCTCAGCTGTTGTGCCACAATACGTAAAAGAGAGAAGAAATACGCCGCACAGGCTGAGTCAGCAGTAATAGATGCATATCGTTCTTGAAAGCTAGCACCCGGCTATTGTGCCGCAAAATAAGAGTTATATTATGTCTAATAAATGAGCTCATAGTTGGAGGGAGAGGCTAAGTAAGAGGTAAAGGGACAAAAAAACGCACGACACAAACGCTATTGAAGTCGGCTGCTGGCCATGCCAACAAGTGTATCCAGCCAAACAGACTTATCTGTTAGTAATGGGTAGGCGCATTTAGATATGGTTTTATTTAATTGATCGCAATTAGATTACAGGCTGCGAAAGTGAGCTACCAATCCGGAAAAGCATCAGACGATCATTTTGTCCTTTCCTCTGCACGAGCACTAACCTGCATGGCAATGGAGGATGGTCGGCTATCGTCCCCCATGGCTCCGTGTCATAAGCTGCTGGCTAGCGGTGCGAGCCACTGTCGGTCAGCGGCTCGATCCCCAGCAGTAGACCGATGGAGCGCGCACCACTGACGAGTCCCAATAGGGCGAAACTATCGTCTGGTGCTTTCCAGGATCGATAGCTCACCTTTGCGGCTTGTAATTTAATTGTAATGAACTAAATTAAATCTCTGTTAGGCCGCTGTATCGTTTAAGTAATCCCACACAACCTTCTTTATTGTTTATGTGGTGCTATATCTCAGTGCGCCTCAATCGTTGCTTTTGCTGCTCTGTTTATTCGCAGAATGTTTTTCGCGTGGTACGTAGCTTTTTGCTGTACTCCAACTTGACAAATGTTGCACGCCTACTCGTGTCCCTATTATTCCTATGGCGTTAATTTGAATACTCCAGAACTTATTTGAACAGTATTCTGTAGTGATTTTTAAGTGAACAGCGGTGAAACTTCATGTTTCAAATCAAATGCAGACGTCTTGCATCTAATTAACATAATAACACTCTTTCCGGAATTCTCGATAGAATACTGGATACTGAAAAGAAGATACTTCTGCGTTGTTTAATCGAAATTGGGTCAGGGACATGCGTTGAACTTCGTCATTAATTCTAATGCATTTGCAGCATATTACAGTTACGCCATATTCTATTTAAGTACAGTACCCTCCCCAAGTCGATAATTCGCTAGTTGTGCTTTTATGAATTTCTTGAATTCCGACACCTATTTTCCCACCACCACCACCCGACACCCGAAACATAGAGAGTGAGCTCGATGCTTCGTATCCGGTACTGAGAACTTGCGTCGGTACCAAAGCGTACTACTTGATGCGCCCAAATATAATATCCGGTGTGTCGTTGAGGTCAACTCGAAATCGACGATATGGTAGGGTACTAAATAAGTAAAATTATTCTGGATATGCTCTAGGAACGCATATCGCGTAAACTGGGGATGGGCCTGGTAGCCACATGCTGAACACGTTTCAGATTTTGCACCTCGCAACGAGTGATCGGGTAATAGGCAGGGGAGCCGTACTGAAGCCTTGGTCTTATGATTGAAGAGAAATGTGGCAATCACTTTAGACAAAATGGAGACGCTGCATTTGAGCGCCCATAGCATGTGCAGTCTGTTTCCTTATAACCTGTTCGTGTTGTCTACGGACCTCAAATTGCATTGTTAGAGTATGCCTATATCATTCACGGAAAGCATGGGATGTAGCGGTTGGCCGGCCAGAATGTACGTACGGTCATCACCACTCTCCCCCAGACCAACAAATAACAACTTGAGTAGGTTGACCGGCAGCTCGACCTCTGCAGATTACATAGACAAGCGATCGAGATCATGCTGAAGTACATTGCAGTCATCGGGAGCATCAACTACTCTCCAAGTCTTCATTTCCTGCAAAACCTGATGCACGGTGACTGAAGTAGCTTAGGTACTTCGTTGATGTGGATCATGAACGAAGTGGACTCCAGTACTGCGCCTTAGGGCATACCACTGGTGGAAGGACGCTAGTTGCTTAAACGATCACCTGCCTTTAGCCTCCATTTTCGCCCAATAAGAAAGTCGCTAATTCTTTGGTGTAGTGAGCCACCAACACCGCACATCCTCAGCCTGTGTAGCAGAACCTCATGGTTCATTTTGCCGAACGCTCTACTGAAATTAATGTATATCACATCGACAGACTTTCCCTGGTCCAGCGTTTGCGGCAGGTTGGTGATGCATGGATCACATTTCATGAAACCGAGCTTCGCGAGCGTCAGGAGGTATTTCGATACCAGCAACAGCAGCAGACTCTTCTTTACCATCACCATGTCAATAGGTTCCAATCAAAAGTCATTGGTTCTATTGGCCTCAACAAATCAATCCACAAGTGCCATCATATTGCGTACAAATCATCTGGGTTGAGATCTTTTAGTTAAGCAAGTCCAACTTTTCTTTTATTCCTCATTCCTTTGGTCATCGCTGTTGTGCAACAACTAAGCAGTGATTTCAGCGGCCGATTATCACTTTTAATGACGGTACTAATGAGCCTACTTGACCTGGAGTTACTTGTCATCATCCTTTTGTTCCCTTTGTTTTCCGTCCCAACAGGTCACGTTGATGCCGGTAAAAGCACTTTAATGGGTAACCTGTTGTGTCGTCTTGGTCATGTCTCAAAGAAGCAATTGGCCAAATACCGCTGGGAGGCTCAAAAGCTGGGCAAATCATCGTTCGCATACGCATGGGTTTTGGATCAGACTTCTGAAGAGCGCAACCGAGGTGTGACCATGGATATAGCACAGACTTCATTCGCCACCAAGTGTAAAAGGGTAATTTTCTCTTTTCTATCCACTACACATGGAGTACTAAGTGAGAATTCAACGTTTCCAGCATTTTTCTACTCTGGTGTCAGGCTGCGAATCTCTCAGACGGGTAACTGCTTTGTACTGATTAGGACCGATTCTTTGTGGCGTGGTTCTTCTCACGTTCTCTTTCGATTTGGGGGGCTCTCTTAAAGTTGCTCCAGATACTGCCTTATTTGGTCCCAAAATCGATTTCTACTCTGCTGTTCATATCGATCGGAGAGTACCACATCTTTCTTCTTCCCGGCAGTTACACTCGACTTGATGTTGCCTGTGAGACCCATCGCATCCTATTTCCGATGCTTCAACTGTTCTTGCAGCTACTATGCTTCGTTACATCGGTCCTTGACTATAGATTGTGAATATCGGTTCAGGCCTGTCAGCCCGTCTGCGGCACGTACTCGGATATGGGTCATGCCGGAGTGCACTTTTGCACAGCGCTGATTCGTCCGATCACATCAATGACTGTGTTGTCGTTAGTTTGTCAATGATATCCCAAAATCTTCAAACTACGCAGCTTCATCAGTTGTGTTATCGGTCTAATAAGTCGACAATCGCTCAGCCTCATCCGCAAAAGACTATCAACGCTGGTTGGGTGGACTACGACAGTATCCATTCTCTTATTTCGCTGGTCGGTTTCATGGTCACCGCAACTCCTTGAGACCATGTTGAATCATGTGCCAGTGGATATCGAAAACATTGTGATTAGATTTTCATATGGTGCGATGGCTTGAATACCTCTGCGATCCACCAAACAATGGTGAGTTACGCTTTCCCAGTGTGTTTAGATCCACTCATCTCAGATGTATCGATAATTAGAGGTAAACCAAGCCTAATCTCAATCTTCTTCTCATAAGAGGCTTGGAAGAGGCCCATGGCCCTCTTCTTTTTGTAAACCAGCCATGGGTGACAACCGGTTTCGCCCTTAATCTCAACTTTATCTGTGTGAAGCACTAGTGCCGCGTGTTGCCACTTACGCTTGGAGATCACCACTTTTGTCCACTGTTTTACTGTAGACCACCTGAAGCCGAGCATCCATTGATCAGCACGAGACAAACTCGCAAAAGCTGACTTGTATGATCATCACCATCAGTACACGTTAGCTGAAGTTGGGAAACTCCTCAGCTGTTGTGTCACAATACAAAAAATGATATGCATGAAAAAGCAACGTTCACGCTTTTGAGTAATTTGAGCACCTGGCTCCTTTTTGCGCCACTATCGATTTAATCCCCTGGAGTCTACCCATACTATAAATTCTGATTTATTTCTCTGTGCTTAATTCATTCGGTTATCTAAATATTCGTTTTTTGTGACTTTCGCAATATTTTGTGTTCTCAGAACGGTACCACTGTAACTGCGGTCATTCTGTCTTCTTCCCCCCTCCCTTGTAACTTCAGGTGGTCCTTATGGATGCACCGGGACACAAAGATTTCGTTCCTCGCGTGATCGGTGGTGCATCGCAAGCAGATGTCGCACTGTTGGTGGTGAATGCCACAAACGGAGAGTTTGAGACCGGGTTTGGTGTGGGAGGTCAGACTAGGGAGCACGCACGACTTGTGCGCCTTCTGGGTGTCTCACGCCTCATCGTGGCAGTGAACAAAATGGACACCGTGAACTGGGACCGCAAACGCTTTGAATCCATTCAGACTCAAATGACCAGCTTTCTAAAGACACTTGGCCTCTCTGGCACTACTTTCTGTCCTGTCTCGGGGCTTACCGGGACGAACATATTGCCGGCGGATGAAAATCCCGTTATCAGTGATAGTGTGTCTGATGAAGGATTTTTCTCTTGGTATAAGGGACCTTCACTTATCGATATTATTGGTAAGTCAATTGGTTCTATCTTCTTTTGGCAGGCTGATTTCGTTTCAAACGACTTCAGAAACAATGTTTACTCTGCATAAACCCACGTCATCGTACGCTGTCACATCAGCGATAACAGTGTATTAGAAGTTTGCTCTCGCATCCCGCTGCTCCAACTAGTGACTATTGAATGTCGTTACTTGAATGCAGGCTGTGGAACTTCAGTAGCACTTCAGTTGCGGCCACCTACGCGGAAGCTGTTGTAAGAATTGGAAGATGGATAAATAAAATAACTGGGAGTTCAGGATTCGCAGCAGGATCCATATTTCGTCTTTACTTATCTGCTGTGTCGTATAGGCCGACAAAGCAATCCCTCTGAACCTGCGCTGCGGCCGATGCAGCTGCATTTTGATGAGATGCTCATAGTTGTATGTGCTAGTGCGCCCAAAGTTTAAACAGCGTGACAACTAGGGGTCTTCTGCCAGAGTATTTGGCTCGGAAGCCTGGTCGCCCAGGTGACAGGAATAGTGCTAAGTGCAAAGTGTGCCGTTTTCGTATGAATGGGTACCATTCCGATTCCATCCCATGACCAGGTCAGTGGAGCGACCTCTAATCACTGACAACTCCGGTAGGACTAGCTCTCAAGTCGCACAAGGGCACCATGAGTTAACACACTGGATCGGTGGAGTGCATAGGCACCTCACCAACCTTGTTACATCTGCCCCGCGGAATGGCTTATCTTGAAGCTGCGTTTGGGATTGCTGCTGCCATAGAGTATTGTTGTGACGAAGCTACCTGTAAATTGGTCATGCCGTTTGCTTTGCAGACGAGATGAATAAGCAATCGTGGACAATCAGCAGCAGCGTCTCAAAGCGTGGGGAGTTCTGGGCCGGTCACCTGGTTTTCCACCGAATACGACAAGAGCTCGTACGGCGCTGTGTCAAAGTCAATTTTACTAGCTATAAGGTCACTGACCACTCAATTCTGTAACTAGAGCTGAGTACCTGGCGGTAGGCCGATGAGCAACCTTGTTGGGCCACCGGCTTCTCTGTGGACTGCCACAGAACACTAAGAAGGCGAATGAGCTACCTGGCTGGCAATCCCACAGAAGATTACGACCAAGTTTGAAGGTTTATTCGTGGAAATGACAGCTCATTACCGCTCTATCCTTGCTAAAAACGAGAAGTCATTTCGGGACGTTGTTTTGATCGAGTCATGTCGCGGATCAAAGAACCCACTCCATCAATTTCATCTGGTAGTTATTGTGGCCAACCTTAGTAACTCACTTTTCAACATCGGGAAAATGCATGACTCAGGTGAATATCCAAACCATCGGGTTCCACGTGCCACATGGCGTTCGGCCTCCTCGAAAAAGTTCCCAGTGATAAGCGATAACTCGGAAGAGTAGAACCCTAGGAGTATCGTGTGTTCAAACATAGGTTTGGTGAAGCTCCTACCGGTACTGTATTTATCACACACACGCATATATATATATATATATATATATATATATATATATATATATATATATATATATATATGAATTATGCAAAGTAGGGAAACCACAGAGTAATTCTAGCTTTATGGCTTATGATCTTGAAATTGGACTACGCATGTTCCTCTCTAAATGAATTTGTACTTGGACCGGTTGACTGGTGGTGGGGCAGTCTAGGCGTCGAACTTCTAAACCACAGGTCACCGGTTCGAGTCTGTGTGGATGCGGGTGACCACGTAGTATCCATAGCTTGAACGCGAGTGCTTGTGATCACATGTCAAAGAGTTCACAGCGTACTTCTGATACCTAATATTGGACTCGGGGTAAGGAAATCTAATGGATACCCAACTTCTCATTATTGTGCACCGGTACTTCATTAAATGGTAGTATAAAAGGCGACTACTAGATGCATGATTGCTAGCAGATGTCATTATTGGGGTCACTATTACCGAAAAATAGCGGTGTTGTTTTCGCAAAATATGAGGTAAGAGTGCATGAATGATCTGAATTTATCCACTCACCTTTTCACAGCGTATGAAGCCAGGTAGCGGTTGAATGAACGAATTGGTTACAAGAGCGCATATCTCTAGGTAGGTGGAGAGCGCCGCGCCGTGATTGTTGCGACAAAATTCCGATTCGGACCGCAGGCAGAGGAGATCCACACGTTCGGGACATGTTACCAAAGCGGTTGTGATGATCTTGTGCAACAGATCACAGAGCGCACTGCTCGAGAGCTTAGACAGTGAGAAAGTTCAAATTGAACTGTGATTTTTGGTGCTCATGTGGTGTGCGAACATATACACACAAACATTTAATTAGGCCGGTAAAGTTCAGAAAGCTCACTTGGACATTTGAAGGAACATCTGTAGGCCACAAACTGCTGAACAAGAGAGAAGGAGTGTGGCCGCCGCTGTCTTGTGTTCCTTCCGTCTCTGTCTCCCCATTGGGAGGTCCCCACCTACTTCGTTTTCGCTTCATTGGATGCTTTTGCGTGGACCTCTCTGACTCGAGACTACCATTACTTCCTTTCGTGGTCGTCGGACCGTCTACTTGATCTTGCCGATCAGTTAAATCAATCGCCTCACTGTTATTTCCGAGGAAATCTGGTATGCGAAATTCGGACACAACAGCGTGTGTAATGTGCGCCATGCAAAAAACCAAGTAGTCCAAGAGACACAAACTTATGTGTCTCCGTGGATTAAATTCATTCAGCTGCCATCGTGTCTCAGACGGTTGAGACGACGGAAGTTTTGGAAAGGTTGATGTGGTACAAGCGAGGGATTGCGCCACTAACAGAAGAGCGCTTAGTTGGATTTGTGGGCGAACGCATTTGGTATCTGCAATTCGAAGAAGGGATGGCAGACATAGGGGGCAAAAATTCGTCGTTGTCAATGTTGTTATATTTTATTGTTACTGTCTAGGAGCAACATGAGCCAAGGGTCACAATGGACATAAAAATGGAATATCTCCACCTCACATTAAGTGGATAAAATTCCGCATACAACCGTGAAAAGTTGAGTCATAACGATAGCCCAACCCATGACAGCACGCACTCTGGGAAACGTGACTCAAATTTTGTATGAGAGATTATAATGTGGCCCGTCTAGATCAAAAGCCGGTTAGTCGTTGCATTTTTGTTTTATGTTATCAAGGAGACGCATATAATTTGAAGAAAAAAGAAGGCAGGTGAGAATTGGACAATCTGTGTTTCGATTAGTCGTTCTCGCGTATTACTTATGCTTAAGCTGAATTACTCATGCGAACTTCGATGATAAATTGCCTTCCAATTTGTTGATAGCTGCGCTATCCTCGTTAAAAATAGATACGAACACAGACGAAGCTGTTGCACTTGGCTTTACTGCTGTGTGTATATGAAGGTCGATGTGCTCCAAAATGCCGCCTCGAGGTCACAACAACCTACTGGAATGAGCGCAGAACACGAACGCCCCGCGTCCTTCGAACTGAAGAATAGATTTTTACAACGGAGGATTTACTGAAGTAGTCTAAGTAGAATTTATCAGCTATCGAAACCAGCAGCCGCGTCTTCATCTGCAAACTCGTGAACAGTCGCGTTGTTTCTGATAACGTACTCGAAGAACCGAGCTCTTCAGATCTTCGCATGAGAGTCAGCTGTTTATGATGGATGTTAGCTCAGGGCACTAAGTTTTATGCTAGGTTTCCGTCTTCCACTGTTATTATTCTTCGTTCCGTAAGTCACCGTGGCTGTACGGCGGCGAAGCATCAGTTCAAATGACCGGTGTATTGCTGGTGATGAGGATGACAACCATGAGCACTGCTAAAGAGTTCGGTCAGTATTCGTGAAACGCAAACTCACAAATTAAACTGTGACCGTCGGAATACCACCATTGGGTGTATCGGATGTTAAAGTTCGGCATAGGCCTGAAAAAGGTGCCTGATAATTATGCCATTCAGTGAGCTCCAAAGGCTAAACAAGCTCGGGCAACGACTTACTGATGATACGGTTAACTGGTTATCTGCGAGCGGTACATCTTTAGTTCAATCGTCATGATCTACATTCTACACGATAGTTGGAAGCGGAAAATACCTCAGCTATCGTGCCACAATAAAATGCAGTATAATATACAAAAAATGTACAAAAAGATAAATGGCGTGAAGTAAAAATGGAGACAAGCAATGTTGTGAGATTGTGGTTGGAGTGGTGTCCCTTAAGTCAATACCCTATTTCGGCTTGGGCAAGCGGGTAGTATCCCGCCCTCGGACGAAACCATGGACTTTGATGTTTTGTGTTGTGTTTTCTTTTACTATTTCTGTACCTTCTTTTGAGTCCCATGGTTTCTGATGTCTTTATGTTCATTCGTAGACCGTTGAAATATATATATATATATATATATATATATGGTTGGCGGCATCCGGTTTCGGATTTGCCTGTCACTGTGGCAAGCCACAGGACGCCTGCGCCTACAGAGGGACCATGGATGGCTTGCGCTGCACCACCCACAGCTCCAACCACATACCCCATATCCAGTGTAAACCCGAAGGAATAAGACCGGGAGGCATGCGGATGGGAACCACGTTTCATCAACGGAGCCGGCCCACACTCCTTCACAGGCAAACACAAGCACGCTGTATTTGGGGAATCAACCGCACACAAGGCGGTGGCTGGACCGTAGTCCGCTCCACACTGAGTGCATGGAACCGCTCTTTGAGCCTAGCACGGCCACAAGAACCGTGTACCCCGTCCCCTCCAGCAACGACCAACTGTCTCCTGGAGCCAGTAGGAACGATGTAGTGGGTAATAGACAGGTAGGCACCTTGTCAACATACACATCAAGCGCAACCACACCGGGGATATCAAACAACAGCAATTCACTTTAAACGACAAGTTGAAGTAAAATAAATCCAATAATGCATACAGATACGGTGGCATAACTCTTCGCTAAATTACCATATGAAGTAATTTGGTTAGCAACAAATCCGTGATAAGTAAGAAATGTCCACAAGTTACTTAAAAATGCTACAAACGCAACAAAATTACCGAAGATAAGCGCAATTAGTGTAAGCAACGTGGCCAGTTAATAGAACATTATTCAGGGAGGCAGAACAAACCAAATAAAGCGGAATGAAATTTATCCAGCATAAAAAGACCTAGTTTGAGTGTAAGTTGGTTTAGCCCAACTGCGGTGAAGATATATATATATATATATATATATATATATATATATATATATATATACATATATATATATATGCGGTTGGAGAGGGAAGAGCCAAGAAGCTCACAACACACCTAACTGAGGCCGGCTCTTCGCCATGTCAACAAATGTATCCAGCCCAACGTGTCCATCGTATTTTAGGCTCCAACTCGAGAATGAGGAGGCTCCAACTGAGGCCAATTTCAAAATGAGGGTTTTCATTCTTATTGATCAATTCATCGCTTGGACTTTCCTCCTCTTCATCCAACCAGATCCCGGTCGCGCAAACAACGCGCGCCGCAGAAGTCGGTGTGCCGGCAAGCGCGAGTAGTAGCCCTGCCATCGGAGCCTGTTGCGTCATAATGGTGCTGGGCGTTTCACTTTCTATTCTTGGGCCGCGAGTAAGGCGGAGGACACGCCCATTGTTCAGGCGGTGTTCCCGCTACATGAGGCAAAATGCGAAAGCACCAATGGTCGAACCTAATTAGCCTCTTTATTTCTGTCGATCTGATGGGCCAGGTTTCGCAACCATGCAGGAGGGCTGAACGCTCATCAAGGCGAGGGTTATGTCGCACTGGCGCCACAGGTGGCGGATTGGCAAAAGCGCCTCGAGCTTTTGCCATACGGTTCGTGATCTCGTCTTCTATTCGACAGGTATTCGAATTTCTGAACGGCTTTTAGTTGGTCCCCACCAAGGATCAGTGAACAGACCACCTGATAGGTCATTAGGCTGAGACCAATGGCAATGATATCGGGAAGGAGACCGATTGCCTTCTCTCCTCCCGAAAATCCGGCAGTGAGACAACGATTTGCGGGGGAAAAGTTCGGCTCGGTTTTCGCAGATCACGTGCACTAAGGAGCCACTCTGGTGTCGGAGGAGCACGACTGATGCTCATTGGTCTGCCATCTCCCACTTAAAGCTACGTACCATTATTAAGATTCTGACCTATCAAAATGGTTGTGTCTGGTTTCTCCGGAATGAGTGTTTCCATGTCATCAAATTGCAGTTCATCGATGGATCAAATCACCCAAGAGGCTACAGTGTGTCGATAAGTCCTATGTGACTTTTGCGGTGCATTTGGTTCGTCCTTCAGACCAAAAGTCGCAAATCACGTCAGCCCTTTGGACCACATAGGTCGACCGGAAGCGCTAACTCCAAATCCTCACCCTCTTGGAATCGATGCGAGCTGTTTCCGAATCACGCTCGTGGATGCATTTGCCATTAATTCACTCTTTGATGTGTTGGAGAGCGGACACCCATACAGATGACCTAACAGAGTGGAGATCTCGATGTTACCCGCTCTCAAACCTGCACTCCACGACCGGTTTCGTCTTCGTTTGGACTCATCAGGTGAAGATAGTCCGACTTGGGATTAGCACCTGGGACGTACTCATCATCAACAATACACGTTAGGTGAGGGTGAGGAACACCTCAGCTAATGTGCCGCAATACAAAAAAGAAAAGAAACTAAAAACTACACACTAAAAAGTCCAACAAGCAAGTAATATAATGTTAAGTATCATATTATTCATTCGCCATGAGATCGTAATTGGACGGGAATCTAAAGGAGAGTGGATGGACAAAAAAGTCAATACCAATGCCATTGAGACCGGCTCTTCGCCATAAAAGCAAATGTGTCCTTCGGACTCCAGCTCGGCAGTCGGGATGCACCAACCTACGCCCACTTCGAAGTGAGGTTTTGATTCCTCTCGACCAGGTCATCGCTTGGCCTCCCGTCCTTCTTTTCCATCCAGACCCCGGGCGCGCAAACAATGCACGGAGCCGGAGTCGATGTGTTGGCATGCGTAACACGTAACCAAGTCATCGAAGCCTGGTGCGTGATATAATGGTGCTGAGGTTCACTCGCTCGAACCAGTTCGATCAACTCTATTCAGTGCTTCCCACCTCTTGGATCTAACCTGTGTGGATTATACTCTTGCTCCAGCTTTCAGTTTTGGCATACTCTCTGCCGAGTTCTACGTGTGTAACCACATCAAACCTGAGCTTTTCGGGAAACATTTTGGTCTTATTCGGAAGAAGCTGAGAACTCCGAAACTACGCGGCAACCATCTCTGCAAATTGCAGCATAAGAAAGTTAATTTTGCTTCGCCCATCAACTGAACACCTGATTTCAGGCACCTAGGGACGCTTATCAGCGCTCCACCTGTATCGTTGCTTAACGCAGGCCGATCAATACATGATGTTGCTTTGCGTGGGTGGGTGCGTTCAACCGCGAGTCGTTTGATCGCTGAACCTGACAGTCTGCGCGGTAAGACATCCATCTGTCGCAACCGACTGACCTTGGTGTGGCTTGACAACTCTCAACTCGTGTGCGTGTTTTGACGTGAACGCCAGTACCACAAAGATCGTTCAGATAGGCCTTGCTGCAAACGATAAGAGGGCGACTAGTATTCCAATGGTTCAGCAGAAAATTGCAGTTAAAGTCTTTAAGATCGGGGTAATCTGTTCTAGCTGCATTAGATCGTACTGTCCGCAAAAAGTGTTTGTGATCCAAATCAAAACAAACATTTGTACACATTTCCCATTGGTTCTGGTTCTGCGCCACCTCCGAAAGAGTTTCCAGCCAGCGGTGTTCTCCATCTTTCTTCCCTCCAGCCCGGAAGACGCACGGGACCTACGACAACTAAACTGGAAATTAGCG